GGTAATAGCTGCTTGATCCAAGGAGACATCTGACTGCCATTTTGATCAAGAAGGAATTTTTTCCTAGTTTGTTGCAAAATTGGAAGCGCTTCAGACTAGGTTTTTTTTGCCTTCTTTTGAATCAACAGCAAAAACATACGTGAGGAAGGCTGAATTTTAAGTCTCTTTTTAGCCATGTAACTATGTAACTATATGTTTTAGTATACCTTATGTGCTTTTGCTTTTTTGAGTTTATTTCAGAAGACACCATATTGTGATCACTAATTCCCAAATGCTCCCCTACTTGAGTGTTGGTTAAAAGACTAACATTGTTTGTGATCACCAGATCCAGACAAGCATACTCTATTTTGGTGCTTGTACCAGTTGTGAAATAAAGGTGTCATTTAACACATTCAAAAACCTGATTCCCCTTGCTGAACTACTCGTCTCTCTATCCCAATTTATGTCCGGGTAATTAAAATCTCCAATAATTAACGTGTTACCCAGATGTGCAGCTTTCCCAGTTTCCTCCAAAGGCGATTCTTCCTTATCAATATTAACATTAGGTGGTCTTTAACATATCTCAACCAATAAATAATTTCCCTTCTTTTGACCCAAGTAGATATCTACCCATAAAGCTTCCACATGTTTGTCACATTCCACTTGCTTAACTCATGGTTGACATACACACATACCCCACCACCTTTCCCGTTTTTTCTGTCTTTCCTGAATAATGTTTAACCATTTAAGCTAACTGGCCAGTTATGTGTCTCATCCCACCATGTTTCTGAAATACCTATTCTGTCATATTGCTTAGTGCAGGGCAGCCCAACAGGTAGATCCCCAGATGTTATTGAGCTACAACTCCCATGATGCTTTGTCATTCTAAATGCATTCTAAAGGCATGCAAAGCATCATGGGAGTTGTAGTTCTACAACATCTGGTGATGTACCTGTTGGGCAGCCCTGGCTTAGTGTATGCCATTACCTCTAGTTCCCCCATTTTGTTATTTAGGCTCCTTGCATTAGTAAGCATACATTTAAAATTATCATGAGTCACTTTTACTTTATGTGATTTTTTTTATTACTATTACATAGACATCTGCAGTTCATTACTATCCTGACATGGGATTGCAATAATTGAGATACAAAATTAGGGAGCTATCTTCTAAAGAACTGAAAGAGCAAAATTAAGAAAATTATAACGGCCTAAATAAATGAGTATATTTATGTGGCATTGCCATATTTAAGAATACCAAATTTGGGTGCTATCTAGCTGATACGTCCCTTATTTGGTAACCTTAAATATGGAAATCCAACATAAGAATAGCAAATTAGGGAGTTATCTACTAAACAGCTGAAATATAATTACAAAAAGGACTTTTCAGATAACTCCCTAAACAAACACAAATGTGGAGACTGACACCTTCATTCATTACCCATAGGGAATGATGGGTACCTGAATTTTGAAAATTAACAAAATTTTCAGATGAAATTTGGTTACTCTGAATCAATATATCCGAATTTCAGACTTACTGAAATTTGAAAATGAATGAATGGAAACAAAAATTGCCCCCGTGTACATCTCTATCAGAAACATATTTTTGTGAAACATTGAAGGTATGAGAGGCAAACATATTATGCACCTTCTAATGAGAAACATGATGATGAGGACTGGACATAGAGTTGCAGAATTCTGATGATCTCCTCAGTCAGCCTATGATTTCAACGGTGCAGCTAGCCCCTCGCTGCCACGGACCCTCAGCAGCACTGTATTTGCCGCAAGGCAAACAAGGCATTTGTCACTATGTGTGTCTGTCTGTCAGTGAGTCTGTGTGTGTAACTCTGTCAGTGTTTGTATGTGTTTGTGTGTGTATGTTACATAGTTACATAGTTACATAGTTACATAGCTGAAAAGAGACTTGCGTCCATCAAGTTCAGCCTTCCTCAGAAATGTTGTTGCTGTTGATCCAAAAGAAGGCAAAAAACCTGGTCTGAAGCACTTCCAATTTTGCCACAAACTAGGAAAAAATTCCTTCTTGACCCCAAAATAGCAGTCAGATGTCTCCTTGTGTGTCAGTGAATGTGTGTGTGTGTCTGTCAGGGAGGCTGTGTGTCTGAGTGATTGTGTGTGATTTTGGTGGATTGTCATTTAATTAAAAGTCTATTTCCGTCAGTGAGGCTGTGGTATCTTTGCCCATTTTAGAGTAATACCGTGTACTTACAAAATATGTAACTACATGGTGCCTGAAACCCCATTTCTTAAATATATGCAGCATGATAACATGAGGAAGCTGTATGCTTATTATTTTAATTAAAGTAATTATAGTCACACTGAATACATAGCTGAAGCATTGCATAAAATTAGGTATACTTTCTACCTCCCACGGGCATAATTAAAATTCTTACACCTAATGTCATATCACCAATACTTCCTGGCACACCTATTAGAGTACCATTCATACTACCAACTGTTATTTATAATAAGATAATATGCACTTATGCATCGTTCTCAAAACTGATTGAGCAATGCTTTGTATTGACACCATGTTCATAAATGCAAATTGCACAATACTGTATATAGACAGCAGACAGCTGTAATTAAAAACAAGCTATATTGCGTTAAACCAGATTTTCAAAAAGGTGTGTGAAATCACAGTGGAATGTAAAAGGCCTCTTACAAATGGATGTATTCATTTAGACCGGTACATCACTACAGGAAGGAACATTAAAAGTTATAATAGGATACAAATCTAAGTTTTATGAATATTCTGAAATTAATATTATCTAATAAATCTCTGAAGTTAATTCAATAAACAGTGACTTGTAGGGAACTGGAAGCCAAATTGAAAGAATTAGATTAAAAAAACCATGCTGTGACTATAGCGGAGTTTGAAAATATTTTTGCCTAAATTAAAAATGTTTAAATCCTAATTTTACTGCCAACTCAGCTAATATACAAGTTTAAGAGGCCTATTCGTAGCTTAAACTTGAGAAATTCTCAGCAACTTTAGTTTAGCTATCATGGCTTAAATTTATAATTGTGGCAAAAAAAAAATGAAAAGTTGTGCCACTTCCCCAGCTGATTTGCAGCAAAATCTAAATTGTATTAAATAAAATGGCCACTTACGAAGGATAGATATACCTTTAATGGAGCAGCACAAAATGATGATGAGATCCTCACATCAAATTAAATCTATATCCATATAGTCATATTTTAGTCATCTGAATTGTTTTAGTTTTAATTGACTAAATGTTCAGTAGATTTTAGTCGACACGACTGGGTGTCTTTCTCCCAAGCCACCCAAGTCACGTATCCTTTGTCTCTAATGGGCAAAAACTGAGATAATTACCTCCCAAAGATCGAGGGGAGTGCAGTTCACCGCATTCTGCCATGATGCCTGGCTTTTGCGGCATGTGGACCCATGCAATTATATAGCCCCACGTCTGGCAACGGTAAAGACGAAATCGACGTGCAGGTGATGTCACACAAAAGACGCACACTCATGTTTTGGGGTCAAGGGCTAGGTACAGCCAATCGAATCTGCAAGAGGGTTATTTAAACTCACTTATTAATTAGCTCATTGCCCTGTCGTGGTTTCCCTTAGATGGTTATCCAAGAGTGTGTTCCAGATTGTGTTTTTCAGTTTTTTTACTTTGGCTTCATTTTGACTTCCCTGATTTCTGGTACCCTTGACTTTTCCTTATCGCTAAGGTCTTGTTCTGTGTCCCTGACCTCGGCTAGTTTTCTGACTATTCTCAGGTACGTTAAGTCCGGCTATTCTAATGCCCGGTAAGACGTTACCCCTAGTTCTAGGGTGTGATACTATTCTGCATGTTGGATCAATATAATCCTGACACCACTGTCTGTCTCTTTTGCCTCTTCCCCAGCCCCTCTGTGGCTCTTTGCCCTACCCCAGCCCCTCTGTGTGTCTCTTTTTCTCCATAGTCCCATTTGTGTGTCTCTTCCCCAGCACCTTTTCGCTTTCTCCTCCAGCCCCTCTATGTCGCTTTGTGTCCCTCTCAGGCCCTCCATGCATCTTATCTTCCCTATGTGTTTCATTCCTCCAGTTGCCCAGGTGTCTCAATTCCTCCCCCAGCCTTTTCTGACCTAATGTTCCCCTTTTCTAGGAGCTCTATATTGTTGATGTTTCTGAGTGTATAACTGAGCTCCACAGCAATAATACTCACAGTAATGTGTCTTTAAACTACAATAAATATGTTTAGAAAACATTATGTGTAAATAAAATACATTGTGTTTGTCATATATTACACTTTAGCTTCATAAATCGTAGTAATAATAATAGTTATTATTTCTCAAAACTGCCACACCACTGGTGACACCCCTAAATTTAAACTGTGCTTCTTATTCCATTAGGAATGTTGGAAGAAATGTAGGTAGATAACAGCTATTTTGTGGGAGTCACCCACCTATGACAGGAGTGTAAAACTGCAAACTGTTAAGTGGGTTATCACCTATTTTCAAAATTGCCAAGTGGCTTCCTCACCCCTTATAAAACATGTTCCTGGGGTAGGTGGTCACTTTTACCATGGTAATCTTTTGTAGATGACAGGAGCATGTGGCCCCCTCATTCACAAGAGGTAAATCCAGTCTTTCAAATGAGGTGTCTTATGCCTCTCCAGTAAAAAGGGGGAATGATGGACAGTGCAGTAAGTGCTCATCTTTTGCAACAGAGATCTCTTACAATCTAAGGGGATGTGAGAACCCCATTAGAAAAGGCATATTGTATAAAGCAACCTAAATGGACCAGTGACTTCTAATTTGAAAGAGTAGAATCTGTCTTTTTAAACAAGGGCCCAATTGTCTCTTTAGGCAGTACAGAGAGAACTTTACCGGAAGCAGAGGGGGGCACCTTCCATCCCAGCAATGAGCCAGTATGTGGTGTAGTTACATGGCATCAGGTGCGTCCTTAAATAATATAAGGATGCACCTGATGGAGTAGGAATCCATCCTCATGTTTTAGGTCCTTGAGAGTGTGAGAGACTACACTGAGTTGTCCACATTTCAAAGCAATGCGCAAGATGACTTTAAGTGGTTATGCCCTGTGAAGAGGTTAAACCCCACAGTATAGTACAAACATTTTAAAATGATGACTATTTTTATATTTTAACGGATCAACATGACAAAAAGCACACAGGAATTGTTTACAATGTATGTGTGAATACTGACTCATTTCACACACAATGAACTTTTCTGACTAAGAAAGGTTAGAGAAACACCCTTTCTTCTGCCTGTCGTAATATATAGAACAACTATATTACACTGCTGATTTCGAGCGTTCTAAGGTTTGTATAAATCAATCTAGTGTTTGTGTGTCGAACGTACCTTTATGGCAATATTTTCCAGATTCTATCCAAGTTTACCTCAAGTTCCAAAACAATTATCAATGATTAAAAAGGTACTAAGTGAAGAGGATGAATGTACCAAGCGCATTAGGATTATTTAAGACAAATTTTTACCTTTCATGGGTTCTCAAATTTATATTCAAGTGGGAGTGAAATAATTAATATATATGTTGTGCAAGCAGAATAGCAAATGTATATTTTTAAAACATATATCAAAATAAAAAAGGCCCCTAATCTCATGCGCCAACAAAAGCACATACTGACTATTTACTAACAGTAGAAGGAAAACCCTTCTTTGAACATTGGGTCTTAAATTAGTGTAACAGCGACAATCTTGGCATAAAGGGGGAGGTGATAAAGCTGGAGAGGAGGTAAGTGCTGAATTAATAACTCCTAAAGCAATAAAATATTTAATGTATCTTTACAATCATGACAGGTTTAGTTTAAATTGTTGGGAAGGAGATTCAATATACAAGTTACCATTTGTAATTACTCCAAGATAAACAGACATTTGGCAGATTCATTACTTTAAATTATTTTTAATTAACATATTAAGCATTTAACTCCTGAATTAGCTCAAGTAAACATACATATAAACAGAAAAAAAAATAATTGAAGTAAATGGCCAACCAATTTTAACTATAATTCTAACTTTAATTATCATTAATAGGAATTAATTGTAACCATTACCAATACGATGCATTTTGTATAAATAATATCCCTAAAGTAGTAAAAAGTCAACTTTACTGCGAGAACAGCTAGGCTTATGACATGTCATACAAACAAATTATTGAGTCACTATTTATGGAATTAATCTTGGAAATCCCATTTTAAATGAGAGTTATAGGGCATGTTTCTATGGAGAGAATATGCAAATACTGGTAATAAAATAATTATCTTCAAAGATCCAAACATGGGAGAATGTTACAAATGGCACATTGTCCTAGCATCACCTTAGTGACAAAAACCATGATACCCAAAGAACACATTGTGCCCTATTCTAATGAAGATGCTTAGCAAAATAACAGAATTTTCTTAATATCTATAAAACAGTTTAATTCTCAGTAATTACATGCGTAAACCTAATTATTCACAGAACAACTTTCTTGTTCACATAAAAAAAAAAAAAAAGTACGGCTAAAATAACACTGTGTAACTTTGTGGTAAAGGTAAGAATTCCTTACAGGGCTACCATCAGAGGGTTACAATCGGTGTTTGTCTGTATCTGTGTGTGTGTCAGTATGTATCAGCATCTGTGTATGTTTGTGCTTGTCTGCAATTGTACATCCCTGACAGTGAGTATTATTGTGTATGTGTGTCTATCTGTCTTGCGGTGTGTAACTACGTGTGTATCTATGACTGCATATTTGTGAGTGTGTATATTTGAGTATGTCAGGAATGCATACCTGTGTGTGTCTTATAATATATATCTCTGTGTCTGGAATCATGTGTGTTTTGGTGCAAGAGGCTGACAGAGTGTATCGAATGTCTTCCTGACAGCCACTAAATGCATTTTCTCCTCCAGACCGAGTAAAACTCGATTTAGGAGTCAATGCCGCTGATAGCAGCATTTGATTAGAGGAGTGTGGCGTTTGGTCATGCATGCATACCCCCAGCCCATTGATTCTTTATGTGAATCAATGGATTGGAGGAGATTGCAAAGGCATCAACAGGCATGCATCTTAGAAGGGTGCAAGCGACATCAACAGAGGAGTCCTGGCACTGAAAACAAGGTAAATAATCATTTTCTAACTTACTTTTCTAAATGCAAAGGAGGAGGGCAGATGATAATTACAATCCTTATTTCAGGACTACAGGTCAGAAGGGACCCTGTAGTCCTGAAATAATGATTGTAATTTCCTGTACTATAGGATACCTTTAAATTTGTTTTGGTGCTTAGAGTGTCTCTTTAACCTCTCCTGGGCTAAGAAAATACTCCATAGACTAGAATGAGATGCTCCTTATTAGAATGTCTCTAACTGAAGCAGAAAGGTTCTGCTGAAAACTTCAGGAAGACTGACCAAACAGTGATTCTCCTGGAAACTTTGAAGGTAATTATCTTTTCTTTTGTCTCTTATTTTTCATAGATTTATTTTTTGTTGCAATTTTGCAATGCATTATCTATATACTATTTTACAGAAATCGGGATTCAACTTTACCTATGTTTCTACCTCCTAGATTCCACAAAACATAAATTAAGAAACAAAACATGATGAATGGCCACAATAAACTGTTCACTATATAATGTTATAATTAAAGGGACACTCCAGACACTAACACAATTTTTATGAATTGTATCGTTTTTGCTGGCTACTGTAACTGGTGCATATTTTAATCATTCCTTTCCGGCTTTCCCAACCTTTAGTTTTTCTTCTATAAGTCTGTCGTTCATGTCATCAAGGAGCACATGAAACGTTTCTGTGAGTTGTGGTTCTGACAACATCATTCATGTAAAATGCTGGTAGCTGTAACTTGGTTGCTTTTGTACATTTGTAGACAATGCATTCAAAAAATAATGGGTCCATCTCAGCCTGGAGTGACCATTTTATTATTAAACAACAGCAAATAATTTCTCATCAGAAATTCTTATAGTGATACAAAATTGTCTATAAATATTTCTGTTTTTTTCAATTCTTGTTTTGACACTGTAGCTTATAGTGACACATACTGTGGGGGAGTTTGGAATGGCTATGTACATTGCCGATGCTGCGGGACATGTCATGGAAACTATTACACCAGGAAAAAAGAAGAAAGGGCCTGCTCTAAAATTTCAGGCCAGAGGAGGATCAAAAAAAGGTAGGTTGCTAGGAGGAGCCTAAAAGGGGCAATCGATGCACACAAGGTAGAGCATTACCCACTTTGGGATAACATTGAAATCCAACAGGAGAAGGCTGGCAGAATGGTCTGGGAGCAATTGCACCCCGAGCACCTAGTTTAGAGAAGATTGTGTGCACCTGCCTCACAGCACAAAAATAAAATATATTACGTAACTACATTATTTTTGTTATATTAACATTGTGTTCAAATTATTGCAAAACTAGTTTAAAAAAAAAAAGGATTGCATTTAATATTAAGGTAGTGGAGTGTGGTGGGACCGTGGACTAGTGTGGTATTAATTTGGTCTATTTGATTAATTGCAGGTAATATGTAGTTAGCCCTGACCTGTAATCTAATGTGAAAAATCCTGCAAATACACAAAATTAAAAGGTCACATAAAATGTAAAAAACAAAAAAAAACGTAAAAACGATAAGATATATGTGCCAAGAAGATGCATGTTGTCAGTAGTTCAGAGTTTTAAAGTAACTGTTGCTGCCTATAAACTTTATCAAAGCAGGTGCTCAGGAACTCTGAACCTCAGACAATATCCCTAGGAGCACTGACCTCTCTCTTCTGCCCCTGTCAGCATCTTATGTTACAGAGAAATAAGTATATCATATGGGCTCCCTTAGGGACTGCAACCTTCCTGCAAGGTATGCAACAGAATGGGTGAAGCATTAGTGGGGAGTCCCAAACATTAATGCATGAGTTCCCCACCATCTTTTTGTGCCTCTGGTGGTGCCTGGCTCATTAGACTATATGGATTTTGTGGAAGAGATCCTGTTAGATAATTAAACTGATATGACATCTCGGTGTTTCCAAGTACACTATATGACAATATATAGATATCCCTCCTAGAGTAGGCAGTCCTACTGTTTAAGAACGGTTTGCCAACTTTCATGGGTCCTAAAGGGTGACCATTTTTGCCTTCCCTGCTAATCCTTGCCGTGCAAAGCTGACTCTTAGCTAATGATCATGGCCGGTATGTCTGGACTTTTTCGGCAGCAGATGGTCTGGCAACAGAGGCCTATTTAAGCTGGCAACTGTTCTTAAATGGTATGACTACTTACTATGGTAGAGTGCCTGGGCACTCCAGACACCATAACCACTACTAAAGAAGTCTACACTAGCCAGACTATACTAAAATAATCTATGTGTTTCAAAGTTATATTAAAGATGCCGCATTCTTTAGCCTGCTCCTTGAGTTGAAACATGGTAGAATCGCCAAACATAAGATCCATTTAACACTTTTACAGTTATCTACTTTTATACATAACTAATAATAGTGGCATTCCTGTTTTTAGAGAAAAAAACAGAAGCAAAAGAAGATGTTAAAGTAACAGGTATGTTGACAAAAGAAGGGTGGGGTGGTTCTTCTATAACATTTGACCTAATATTCTGCAAAGATGCAAAGAAAATGCACTAATAATGTTTAAATGGTAATTTGTATAAAAGTGGGGCACTAAGTAAATGCGTATTATGAACAAATTAATTCTGTAGTTACTAATGTTTCTGAAAACTCATTCAACTGTAACATTTCCATGCACACATATTTGCTGGCAATTTTTACATAATTAGATTTTTTTAAATATAATATGAAAGATACTTCGATTTAGAAATTGTGTAAGTAAAACTGCTACAAAATTATTGTGGAATATAATCTCTGGCTGTCTGATAGAATTATTCATTAAATGGCCCCAAGTGAGCTTATTCACTAAACAATGAACTGCGGAGAATAGACAAATAACTGCAAAGTAGCGGAATCTGAAAAAAAACCTGCAACTCCGCTATTTTAGCCAACAATTTACAATTCCCTTGTTGGTTCTCCTCAATTCTCGATTTATTGGACAAACCCCATCATTTGCATTGCTAAAGTTAGGAAAAAAGCAACAACTCTTCCCCATAAACCAATCACATACACAAAATACTCCTAGACCACAAGTTATACTAACAAAATAATAAAGAGTTAAGAAAAACTAATAAAGGAAACTGATTTAAAAAAATCTAATTACACAGTCAAAAGTAATAAAAACTGTCCAACGTGGCAAAATTTACAAACAACCACTTGTAGGACTGTTTCAAATGAGCCTATAAGCAGCTGGCTAAACCACATACCTCCCAACATTTCAAATGGACAAAGAACACTTTAACATTACAGGTGTATGTGAAGGTGTAACCAGAAGCAGGACTGTTCTGGGAAATGTAGTGTGACTTACTAATAATAATTTATGCAACTAAAATGTAAATTAGAACAAGAACAGTGCATCTTATTCACACAGACTGATTGCTAAGCACATTATTGTAGTTTAGACACGTCACTGTTAGTATTATAGCTGTGGAGCTCTGTTATACACTCAGACACATCAACAATATGGAGCTTCTAGAAAAGAGGGACATTAGGATAGAAAAGAGGGATTTGGACTCAAAATAGGTAATGACCCTCCTAAGTAGGAATACGTGGGAGGTATGTAAACAGTTGCAGTCCTTCGTATCTGTATGATCCTCTTACAAGGGTGTTTTCTGTGGATTGATCCAATATAAAACAAATGTTTTCTTTTCTATGTTGGCAGTGCATCCCAGCACCTCAAAAGTCAAAGAGGAAGGAGAGTGCAATGAAACGCACAGCGCGTTATCTGGTAAAAAACAAGAATTTGTACTCTTAAAAGGAAACTATAGTGCCAGGAAAACAAACTTGTTATACTGGCACTATAGCTTCCCCCTTTGTCAAGGCCTCTCCCTCCTCCTCCCCCTCATAGTGCAGAAGGGGTTAATAACCAATTCTGTCAGTTACCTGTGTCACTTAGATGGGGAGACCTAATGCGCATGAGCGACAATGGCCGCGCTCCTATTAGGATTTTCCCATATGAAAGCGTTATTCAGTGCCACTGGATAGCGTAGCGTGAGGATGTCCAGCATCATTTAGGCAACCCAAAGTCGCCTTCGAGCCCGTAAGTCTGTCTAGTGGCTATCTGGTAGACAGCCACTAAAGGAGGAGTTAACCCTAGGAGGTAATTATTGCAGGTTATAAAAACTATAAAAATTACCACTCTGGGGTTAAGGGTGATGGGACATTGCACCCAGACCACTTCAATAAGCTGAAGTGGTCTGGGTGCCTACAGTGTCCCTTTAAATTGTAACAAGGTAGCAATGCATATAGTAAGAAAATCACCTCCTAGCTGTGTGTCCCACTCCTCAGTTCAGTGGTGGCAGAGAGTCGGCTTGTCTGGGCTTATTTTCTCTCAAACATTATCTTTACACCATTATTGACCATCATAAAGGCTGTGAAGAATTAGGCATGCATTAATTAAGGTAGGAGCTTTGGATAGCAGTCAGATTTATTGTCCAATTGATTGCATCATGTTTATACTTAAAGGGACACTATAGTTACCAGAACAACTACAGCTTTTTGTATTTGGTCTGGTGAGTATAGTGATTCCCTTTAGGCTTTTTGCCGTAAACACTGTATTTTAAGAGAAAATGCAGTGTTTGCATTACAGCCTAGTGATAACTCCACTGGCCACTTATCAGATGAGAGTTGTTTCCTGGAGCATTTCCATTCAGTGTCTCCACCCTCTGCATGCAGACACTGAACTTTCTTCATAGAGATACATTGATTCAATGCATCTTTATGCCGGGATGCTGATTGGCCAGGACTGTATTTGGCTTGTGCTGGCTTTGCCCCTGATCTTCCTCCATGAAAAGCTCAGCCAATCCATTGCTTTCCTATGTAAAGCATTATGATTGGCTCAAAACAACACTTCTGGTGATGTCAGCCAAGCAGGCAGATCAGGGGCAGAGGCAGCAGCAGCAGACTGGAATAAAAGTAAGATTTTGCTATATTTAGGGTGGTAAGGGGGGGGGGAGGCAGTGTCCCTTTAAGGCATTTGGATGCACTGCCAACATGAGGAATTTAAATTATTGTTTTTATACTGGATCAATCAAATGATTAAATCCTTGTTGGGGCTCATATGGAGGAGAAAGTCTGTGGCTATCTGTTTAGCCTGCTGCTGACAATATCATTTGAGACAGTCCAACAAGTGGTTGTTTATGGATGTTGCCATTTCAGACGCTTTTCATTACTTTGACTGTGCGATTTGATTTTGTGATTAGTTTCCTTTTATATGTTTTTATTTATTTATTGAAATCTGATGTGAACATCATAAAAGACATTACAAAAAAAATATCAATAGATGTATTCATGTAGAATGGACAGGCAGACTGACCTTCTGTCTTTTGTCTGTCTTCATCCAAGATCATTATTTTTACTTATTTACTTTTATCGCTATTGCTGACTTGATTTAAACTTTCTGTTAGCAGATATCATAGAGCCACGTGTTGAACAGATTATTGCAATAGAGGAGACTCCAGCTCCAGACGAAGTACCAATTGTGGAAGAGCCAGATGATGACACAGAACAGCCTATGCATCCAAAAAAAGATGGGCATGCATTGTAATATGTTACATGTGATTTATGCAAGTATACACATACACAAATAACATTAAATGAAGTTGTAAGCAGATATTGATATTTCATCCTTCACATCTGCTCTCAAAAAAAATAAATAACCTTCTGGATTGTTCCACCCTGGATTAAATTGATTACCCAAATGTTTTGGGTCAAGTTTCTACATAATGTGTCATGGGAATGTTCTACAGTAAATCAAACCATTGTTTCATAGATGGTCATATTGGAAATATATCACACACACCAAGGTTTTAACAAAAAAGAAATCATTCAGGGTTTCTAAGAAAATAGCACATGCCATTTCTGGGAAGGATGTCACTTGAATTAGACAGATTGCCCAGGACATCTGATAAGCTGATGTGGTTGTTGTTTTCATTATTATACTGTATATTATGATTGTATTATTATATTATTTGAGAAGAGTTATTTAAATTCCTAAGTTACATTCTTGGTCTATCTTGGTTTATTCATAACTGGTTTTAAAGAAACACTCCAAGCACCATAACTACTACAACTTGCTGTAGTTGTTATGGTGCCCCATTTTAGAACATTTTGACTTCTTGCCTGGTATCTGCCTGCGTGCAAACCCCAATCTCTGCAACATTCTGTGCTAATCTCAGGGGTCAACTGATCACTCTTAGCCAATGAGCTAAGCCCTGCGCCACCAGCATCCGGCTCTCTATCAGATGTTTTGAGTCAGGGAGCAATGCCCAAAGTGAGAAATCAGGTTGCTCCAACATAGCAAGGGGGGTAGGGGAGAGTGCCAGGGCACTCGTGGATGTAGTGATTATGCTGACTGCAGTGGTCGTGGTGTTTGGAGTGTTCCTTTAACCCATTTTTAATTTTGCCTTTATGTATCAGAATATTTCACGTGAACACTGAAAAAAGTATCGGTATTCACTGCTTGTAATTTTGTAATATGTTAACTAACATTTTATCTGTTCAGGTTATTCTTCACTTACTTAGAAGGTATTATTCAACAAAAAATGGTGTTAGTATGACAAAGAGCAAATCAGGTTTTAATAAAAATGGCCCATTTGGCATAGGAATCAAAGAAAATCAGTATATAACAAATATACACCCTTAATGGAGTATATGTTAATCCATGCAGTTTTCTCGAGGCAAAAAGATACACTATCAGCCTTATGGGATACACACTATCTAAGCTACCTAGCCTTAGTTTTTAACTTTTAATATATCATGTGTGTATATATATATTGATATATATATAATGTGTGTGTATGTATGCAATTTTTCCAAAACCCCCATCAAAAACAAACCCCACAGTTATCCAATAAACATATTTTCCCTGTTATATTTGTTGTTGAAATGTAACTGCTTCAAAATATCAAAATCCATGGAAAAAGTAACCAACTCCTTTAAAATTTTTAGTTTTTCTCATCTTTCTTAAAAAGTAATACAATTGATTTTAAAAGCAACACCAGCGGAACTTGGGTGAATCCCATGCTTCACAAGCAAATACTATATTTTCAGAGGGAGGGGGGTTTTGTCCCCCTATTCCCTCTGCTTCCAGTGCATGTACAATTGCCAAAAGCTTGTGCAATTTGAAAACATTACATTCATTTTTATCAAGATGCTCTGAAGGTACAAAAATACTAACGTAGTCTTCTTTAATTTGATAGGGGACCAGGGAGTGGATCCTTTGTACATTAGTTTAAACTCTCTGGGGCTCAATTCGACAAGGGTTGCTGGTTACTTATGACTTGGGGGCTACAATGTGCATCCATTAGTAAGAAATAATTGCAATCTATCATCTCTGTACACTTTCCAATAATTCAAATAGCTGCTGACAAATACTTTTTTAGAATGGAATTCCCCTGTGGTTTAGTTACATGTCATATTCTAGTACACACACAAACCCTACTGAAAATTATGCAACTCCGCTTCTCTTACAATATTGAGAGAGTTGTGGCTTAGGATGTTTAAAGAGATTTAAAGGAGGAGTACAGTGTTAGGAATATACAGTTGCAAGAAAAAGTATGTGAACCCTTTGGAATGATATGGATTTCTGCACAAATTGGTCATAAAATGTGATCTGATCATCATCTAAGTCACAACAATAGACAATCACAGTCTGCTTAAACTAATAACACACAAAGAATGAAATGTTGCCATGTTTTTATGTAAACATTCACAGTGCAGGTGGAAAAAGTATGTGATCAGTTCACATTTTATGACCAATTTGTGTAGAAATCCATTTCATTCCAAAGGGTTCACATACTTTTTCTTGCAACTGTACCTGCATTTCTAACACTACACTGTTCTACTTTGCATTTAGTTTAAGGTTCCCGTCAAATCATAATTAAAAAGGGATTCACCTTTTTTTTCCTGCGATAAGATCTATTCCCTGCAGCCACTCGATGTGCATTCAACATGAAAAATTTTCTCTTTCTTACATTTCAATATTCCTCATAAAGAAGAATTTGGGACAAAAAGCGCATCCGTGGCCAGTGCTGTGCTACTCCAATTTAAATGTAGGTTAGATGTGAGAACCAAGTTTAACCCAGATCACAAGGTGGAATCATGTCTAGTGGCTGTCAATAACAGCCATGAGAGGCATATGTAACCCCACAATGTAAGTGTTGCCATATCTACTAAACGGCAATGGTTTACACTGTACGGTTAAAACCAAAAGACCAATGCACCCAGAACACTTCATTGTGCCTTTAATGATATTTTAAGCATAATTATGTGAATGCTCTCTGCTATACTGTAGTTATTGTGATTTTACAGTACAATAAATAGGGTTCGTAGGACTGAAAATAAAGCTTGAAATACTATGATTATAATTCCTGCCAAGAATGCAGCTGAGTGGAGTGTAATATCATCCAGTTTCTTTACATACATAGCTTTTTATGTATGTTATAAAAACTATATTGTAGCAGGAAAACAAGAAAAACGGCATGGTTTTGATTTATTGCATATTCACTGTGACATTAAAATGCCTAAGTTGTACAAAATCCCACGTACGGCAAAGATGTCTTCAAATATATCGCCTGTTTGATTATCTACCAATCTCAGAAGGATTTGTTTGTTGTGATTTGTACTGTCTGAAAAGAATTGACTCCAGAAATACTCTGAAATAAGTTACTGTTAAACCGTGCAAAGTCTCACATAATGGCTTAACTTAAATGTCGAGTATCCATCAGACCGCATGTGGAATATTTAGTTATTTAATATTTCATATTAGTGTTTTGATAAAAAAGACATGGTGGTAGCTGAAATCCATATACCCATGCATAGCTTTTCTTTTGCAGTTTACTGTGTAAAATTATTTTATATTTAGAATTGCAATTTCCTGTTTTAAAATAACACGCTTACTCCCATAAAAGCTTTATCTCATCTTCACATGAAGTAGTTGTCAGGGTAGGAGTGCATGGGTGCCATCTAACCTTCAAGGGTTAACCATTTAACCCTAATATTGGTACCCCCGTGTGTACTATTTTTTTCAATGGATGGCCAGTGATAAGCTAAATGTGTCAACGGACACTCTCAGCCTATCACCAGAGTGTACAGAGGAAACTGGAGTCCCTGGTGACCAACTTTGGGGTTAAAGGAACACCATAGTCACTAGAACAACTATAGCTTAATGTAGTGGTTATGGTGTCTATAGCCTGTCCCTGAAGGCTTTTTTTTTCTCATAAATTCTTTATTTCAAAGATTTTGTTTTTGTGGGGAAGGGGTACAGAAAGAAAGAGATATAGGGCTATAATATAAAACGTATACAGTGTACATTACGGGGTTTTTTTTGTTTTGTTATTTGTGTTATAGATTCCATGCAGTTTAAATGGACACTATAGTCACCAGAACAACTACAGTTTAATGTAGTTGTTCTGGTCAGTATAATAGTTCCCTTCAGGCTTTTTTCATGCAAACACTGCTTTTTCAGAGAAAAGGCAGTGTTTACATTGCCTCTAGGGACACCTCCAAGTGGCCACTCCTTAGATGGCCACTGGAGGTGCTTCCTGGGTCAGTGCTGCCGAAAAAGCAGCCCTGACGTTCAGCGTCCCCACGCTCTGCATGGAGACGCTGAATTTTCCTTATAGAGGTGCATTGATTCAATGCATCTCTATGAGGAGGTCCTGATTGGCCAAAACAGCATTTGGCCCCACACCGGGTGGGCCGCAGGAACCTGGGGCCGCGCACACAGCCAAAATCAGTAGGCTAATGTCTTTTAAGTATTTTCCCCTCGGACTGTCAGTCCTAGGGGAGTGAAGAGGGAGGAGCTGGGGGCTGGTGCAGCCGCAATCAGGCTGCTGTACAATGTACAATGTACAGCAAATTCTGGCCACATGTCCGGCCCCCACAAGTAAGCCCCACCTCCTAGATGGAAGCGCCGCCTGCTACACACAATCTTCCCCCCCGCACACACGTTGCTGACCTCTCTGAAAGGAAGAGGCCACAAAATGGCAGCTTAATCTGACAGTGCCAGGTAAGCTTCAGCTATGAAAGTGATTGTGTGTGTGCCTGCTAGTGAATGAGCTTGTGTGTCTATGCATGTTTGTCCATTTGTGTGCCTGCTAGTAAGTGAGCGTGTGTGTGTGTGCCTGCTAGTGAATGTGTGTGTCTGTTAGTGAGTGATCTATGACTGCGAACTTGGTGATGTGTGTCAGTAGATGTCTGAGTATGGACAATGTGTGCTATTCAGGGCCAGATTAAGAGCCCAGTGGGCCTGGTGCTGACAATTATGATGGGCCTAATTACAGAATCATATCGACCAAAAACAGTAAAACACTCCCAAGCGTCATGTATCTGATGGAGATGGTGCTGGAGAGAAAGAAAACAGCAGCTGTAAGAAAACACATACCCTAGGCTAATCTCTCTCTAATTTATGTTTTCATCTTTCAAGTAAATCCATAACCCCTAACAGCAGTGTCCAGTCAAGCAGGAAGTCAATGGGCATGGTAAAAGGGTGTGCCACTGACACAAATCACGTAACCTGCCAAAAGGGGCGAACATGCCCAAAAAGAGGACATGTCTGCCCAAAGAATTAGAAGGCCAGCCTGGCATGAATGCATGTCAGGCTGCCTGCCAATCATGCAGCTGGCCAACTAAGGGCATACTATGCAGACAGCACCCTGAGCTTGGCATAAATGCATCTAATGATGCGCTCACTCAACGCTTTCTAAGGACTGTCCCCCAGCACTCGCTGGTCCATTTGTCTCCTTCCCTTCTTACTAGCAGGCAGAAGCTCCTGTTATATAGTCTGGGACAGAGAAAAGCTGTATGTAGTGAGTTTAAAAAAAAGGGAACATGCCACAGTGTTAGAGAGACCAAAGTCAGCATTACCTTAAAGGATCACTATAGGGTCAGGAACACAAACATGAATTTGTGACCCTATAGTGTTAACACCACCATCTAGGCTGAGACTGACAAAGAGGCAGATCAGGTTCAGAGCCAGCATGATTCAAACACAGCCCTGGTCAATCAGCATCTCCTTATAGAGATGAATTGAATCAATGAATCTCTATGAGGAAAGTTCAGTGTCTGCATGCAGAGGGAGGAGACACTGAATGTTTGGATGCATTTTAGGCAGCCATGACCCAGGAAGGATCTCTAACAGCCATCTAAGTAGTGGCCAATGAAGTTATCACTAGGCTGTAATGTAAAGACTGCATTTTCTCTGAAAAGACAGTGTGTACAGCAAAAAGCTTGAAGGTAATGATTCTACTCACCAGAACAAATTCAATATGCTGTAGTTGTTCTGTTGACTATAGTGTCCCTTTTCATTGTCAGCCAGTCCACACAAGTTTTGTTCCCATACATCCCGCTTAAGTTTCCATACTTAAGTAAGAGTATGTGAAAAGTAGTTAGGGTTGCCACCTTTCTTGGAAAAACATACCGGCCTTACTAATTTGCATAATTAAATATGTATGGGTGACATCACATGATGTAAATCACAAGGAGTGACATAAGAGAAAATGATGTAAAATCACTCAAAAACTACTTAGTTTGATTCTACTGTATAGATGGATTCCTCCCAGTGCCCCATGTGTCTATTACTCCAGGTCTCAGTGTTCCTATGTATCAGTGTCTCAGTGCCTCATGTCTCCCAGTGTCCCCTAGTGTCGTGTCCCCAGGTCTTCCAGTGATCCTATGCATCACAGTGTCTCAATGCCCCATGTCTCCCTGTGTCCCCATGTATCCCAGGGTCCCCATGTCACTAGGACACTAGGAAGACAGGGAGACCTGGGGACACAGGGACACAGGGAGACCTAGGGACACGGAGACACCAGTGACACTGGGAGACTAGGGGACTCTGGCTTGGACACATGGGGACAATGGGAA